ACTTCTTTATTGTTAAATAAGCCTAGAAAGCAAATTTTGCTTAAATTTTACTTATAAAATTTAGATGCGTCGATCATTTGAATCCACTATAGCATGCGACATATTGATCGACTGTTATTATATATTATTACGAAACGGAATTTTGTTAAAAATTTTTTGGTTACATTGTGAGGATTAAAATTCTAAATGATTAAGTTGTTACAATATGTAAAAAAAGTTGTTTCACCCTAATAAGTAAGACTTAAAATTATAAATTGTTAATGATTATTATTACATGATTGTGTAAAGAATAAATATATAAATAAAGTCTGCATTCTGAAAAAAATATCAAAAAAAAAATGCCTGAACATTCTAAAGAAGTTAAGCAACTTAAACGTAATGTGGGTCCTAAGGTAAGCTTGCTTACTGTGTATTCGTTGTTGAGTAGTTGTCAGTGTAAATTACGCTGCAGTTGAGTGATCCTGAAAGTGTAGGTTACCGCTTTCTTCGATGACGCATGAATACTTATCATTTTTATTTTTTGTATAAGGAATTTCTTCAAAACTGTAAAGCTTTTCGTGATTCTATCCAGGAGATTCTCGTGAGTATTGGATTTCATGTTGATTCTTCCAAACCTCAAGGTTTGATCTATTCAGGTCGCGATAAGGATTATAAAATTATTGTACGTGTTAAACATAGAACAAAGAAAAATCTTGGATTTGATGATCCAGAGCGATTAAAGTCAATGATTGATACGTATTACAGCGGTCATGAGGGTTTTATTGTTACTGATTGCAGATTTTCATCAAATTGTGAAAAAGTTGCTAAAACAATGATGATTAATTTATGCAAAGAAGGTATGTTTAAGGAATTGGTGTTAAATAGGTTTAATGCTCGTAATTAAGGAGAAGGAAGACAAGGATGATATTAAAGAATTAAAATTGAATTCGAGGATCTTACCGGTAAAAAGGAACTTGAGAACAGGGACACAGAAATTGTGATTTAATGTGATTAAACAAAATCACACCAAATCACAATTTTGCTTCACTTATATTACGTTGGTATCATGTGCACACGTTTTAAATTTTTAGTATCGTAATATTTTAAAATGTTAATAAATTATGATATTCTAGTAGTATATAAATTTATATAGTATGCTAAAACACAATAAATAATTAAATAAATTCGTATTCAAAATTAAAAAAAGAGTTTCGCTATTTTTAATAGTTCAAAAGAACAATAACGAGTACTTAATTTAAAAATAACAATTAAAGTAATATCATTAACAATAAATAATTTTAAATTTTTATCGACAGAAGTGTTTTTTTAACAATAAATAAATTAAATTTTTGTTTAGCTAAACACAATATTTAACAAATTTTTATTAAAGTGTTTTTAGCAATAAATAATTAGAAACAGATAAGTATTTGTTTTGTTGAGCGCAGTATTTAAAAAATTGCAAGTTTTTTTTACGAGATAAAATTGCTTAGTAAACATCATTTCATCAGTAAAATCGAATATTTCATATATACCGCACGCATAATTTACAAATTCTTATCGCATAAATTCTGTGTCCCTGCATGAGAATATTAAAAAAGAACTCGAGAACTTTAAAAAGAGTTATAAACAAAAAATAAACTTTCATAGTAGATGTTTTATTCAATAAGTTCCATATTTTATTCGGCATAATTTCCATTGTAGTGATCGGATCCGGTTTAGAAAAAATCCGGATATCTAATTATTATAAATTAGTAATAATAATATCCTGATCCGTTGGGAATTAGCGGAAACGGAGTTTCCGCTTATTCACATACGGTCAGGGTATTATTAATTAATACTCCCGTGATCTTGATATAGTGATCGGGGTATTATAAATAAATATGAATCGGGTTACATATATATACTGCTATTCTCTTTTTCATTCAATAAAATTTATAAAATTTAAATATTAAGATTCGCAAAAAAAAAAAATTTATTTCTTGTGCTGTAAAGCAACTTTCGCTAATGATTTCACAAATTTATTCTGCTGCTGTTGAGCAAAATATTTAAATTAGTAAAATAATTAAAAGAGGATGCCAACGTAGCCGAAGTTAAAGTTTCGGCAACCGGTTGAGTAGAAATTTTTTTAAAATGTTTTAGGTGTCATAACGTAGATCACGAAAAATAGAAAAAGAATATGCACAAGCATTTAATTCATCATTGATCGTGATGCTTGAGCATCACCATGTTCATTGTTTAATTAATTGAGATGTTTGAGAACACCCGAATCCTCAAAAATTTCTAACCGATATGAAAAAATAGTCACTTTATTTTAATTCTCGAAGCTTTTAAAACAAATAATTGATACCTTGATTTTAATGTAATAAATACAACCCATCTTTTAACCTTTAATCAAACCGTAATGAATACTGCTATTCATTTTTCTTTCAATAAAATTTAATTATTAATCTTAATATTCGCAAGAAAAAAAAAAATATTTCTTGTTGTTATAATGCAACTTTCGCTAATTATTCCATAAATAGATTCTGTTGCTGTTGCAACAAAAGATTTAAATTGACAAAATCATTAAAAGAAAAACTAAAGCAGTCGAAGTTAAAGTTTCGGCAGCCGGCTGAGTAGGAATTTTTTTGAAGTGTTTTGTGTGGCATAACGTAGATCACGAAAAACGGAGAGAGTATGCTCAAGCATTTAATTCTATAAATATCATCATTGATTGAGGTCATCATGATCATTATTTAATTAATTGATTGAGATGCTTGAGAATACCCTTAGTCAAGTCGATAAATTTATGTCAACTACAAACACTATGATCAGCAAACAAGCATCTCCCACAAAAAAATGTAGCTGACGTTATAAATTTATTATAAAATAACACTCACCGCATGGATTATCAGTCATAAGTTATTCGTAGCGATAATGCAGTAATATAAGTAATAATCTATAAAAATTATTTAAAATTTAAATAAAATTAATGAGTGAAAAAAAAGAAAAACAATTGGAGATTAGAAAAAATGCCGTAATAATCAAAAAATATTAAATACAAGTTCAAGAAACTGAACACAGATATATATATTTGTTAAAAATAAAAATGATTTTAATGTTATTGTTATAATTATGCATTTTTTGTGGGCAATGCTAGGTTTGCACATTGAGATCACGAGATTGGTTTTCATATATTTTTTCAAACCTTTCTATCTAAATAGGTTTTATTAAAAAAAAAAATATTAATTGTTCTGATATGGCTTAACGGTTAAGACGTAGGGACTATTATGATTACTAGGTATGAGTAGATCCTAGGTTCGAGACCGGCTGGGTTGTAGATCCGCGACTTTCCTGGACGCAGGATTGTCGGTTCATCCCGGACGCGGGTTACGGATGTCCTCAGTATGAAATATCAGGACTTCTTTTTTATCTCTTTTTTTTTTTACCTCTCTCAAAAAATAACCCTAGCATCGCCTATAAAAAAATACGGCTGACGTGATATCTTTAATTGTATATAGTATTTTAATCCCGGACGCGGGTTACTTCTTTTTTTTATATTTTTTTTTTACCTCTCAAAAAACAGGTCTAGCATTACCTATAAAAAAATACAGCTGACGTCATATCTTTAATTGTATATAGTATTTTAACAACTCTAGCGTCGCTCAGAAAAAATGGTAGCCTGATTATTTTGCCGGCTTACATGTAATTTTGGATACTGATTGCCGGATAAATTATGAATTTTTTTAGTTAATGAAAATAACTTGCATTTTTTTAGTTATAGCGAATAAATAAATAAAAATAATAATTAAAATAAGGCGATTTAAACAGTTTACCTTAAATTCATAGAATCTTTACGCACTATAAAGTAGCTTACTTTTGATACACCAATTACAAGTTAAATTAATACTGTTGGCCCTCTCAAAACCGGTATGCGTGGTGGACGGGTTCTGTATCGGTTTTGGGAGATTATCGGATTTAACTACCCCAGGATTGCCAACAAAAATTACTATGTAACTATGATAAAATTTTTGCGATCTCGTGATGATATACAACAAATTATCCAATAAATAATCTTGATTTGGTGTAACATCACGCGATCAAAACAAACGTCCGTTTAGAAAACAAAAAAAATTCCTTGAGAAATTTTACTATATTCCTCTAAATATTCAACTTTAGTTTAAACGCTAACCCTAACATAAAAGAACTTAAACAATTTTATCGATCATCACGTGATCGCAAGGCGATGCTGAGGAAGATATCGGATTTGAAAAAAATCACATGATAAATGGTCGGAAATCAGCCAATAAAAAATTTTTATCGAAAAACTTCGCTCAAAGTTTTAACAATTCAACAGTGCTTAAATTATTAAGGCTATACAAAAATGATTTTTTGTTTTGCATCGAAATTCGGGTTTTTTTTTTTTTTTTTTTATTAATCTATATAGCAAAATCTTTATTTTTAAGGCTTTCTTGAAAATGCATTTTACTTGTTCAGATGATTTCAAGTTCATTAACTTTTCCTATCGGTAGCTTACAAAATATAAGAATGACTTGTAAATGTAATGGCTATGTTATCCATTTTAAAATTTAAAAATTAGTACATATTAATAACAAACTTACAAAACCTTCATACCTTCCTGAAATAATACAAATCCAATTGATAAAAATCGGTCAAAAATGGAAATACTAATAGAATAATTTATCTTTATGTTAAAGA